TGTACGCGGGGGGTGGAGGTGGGCGGGGGGGGGGGCTCGGGAGAAGGCGGCGGCCTGAGGGGGGTGTTAAGTGGTGCTGGGTTTTTTTGACCTCCGATTTTTTGTTTCGCCTTCCCAGTGCCCTCACCTCTGCCAGCCTCTGCTCTTTCCACATCGCTGTCTGCGTGACTGCAGCGGTAGCTGCCTCAACACGAGCTTCCTGCCATTTAGTGCTTCACAGACAAGCCCCCCGCCTGGGAAAACGTTCTTTGTTTTAGATCCTTTCTTTTCCTGCTCTACCACCAATCACAAGCAGCTGTCCGAGGTAGCAGCCTCGCACGCTCCCCCCTAAAAATGTACAGGCAAGGATAATATTTGCCCACGAACGTTACTTCAAATTTCGGTTGCATAGTCTCCCGCTCCTTAAGCCCTGGGAACAGGGCCGGCTCTGGCTTTTTTGCCACCCTAGGCAAAAAAGGCACATGCTGCGCGACGGGGAGGGCGCCGAGCCCGGCCACAGGCCCGCAATCCCCAACCGGGCCGAAGCGCTGGGGGGGCAGGGCGACAAGCCCACCGCGGCTCCGCTCTCCCTGGCGCCCAGAGCGCTGGGAGCAGGGTGGAGAGCCCGGTGGCCAGAGCACCGGGAGCAGGGCGGCGAGCCTGGCCGGGGCTCTCTGCTCTCCTCGGTGGCCAGAGTGCCGGGGGGAGGGCGGTGAGCCCACCGCGGCTTTCTGTTCTCCCCGACCAGCCGGAGCGCCGGTGGGAGGGCGGCGAGCCCGGCTGGGGCCCCGCTCTCCCCGAGCGGCCGGGGGGAGGGCGGCAAGCCCACTGCGGCTCCGCTCTCCCCGGCGGCCGGAGCACCGCGGGGAGGGGGGCGAGTCCAGTCGCGGCCCCGCTCTCGGGCCAGAGCGCCCCACTGCGCCGCCCCCCTCCAGGCGCCGCCCCAAGCACATGCTTTGTGGGCTGGTGCCTGGAGCCGGCCCTACCTGGGAAGCAGAGGAAAGGTCACTAGCCCCTGCATCCCTATTTAAGATGGGGATTTCAACACATATTTAAGTCCCAGTGACACTAATGGGACTCTCAGCCCTGCTTAAAGTCAAGCATATGCTAAGCTGCTTTCTTGAATCAAGGCCTCAATGAACTGATTAAACTATATTCTAGGGGCTTTCTTAATACATATTCATAAGGTGGGTATAAATAAACTATAATTGCAAGGATGACTATAACCATTTACTAGTACATTTCACTAGAAAGGTCACCATAATACAGAGCTAGAATTTTAACTATTTTGTCCAAATGGAAATTAATATTGGGAAGTTGTTACATGTTTTCCTCCAGAATCATGTGTGTCCTTCCATCAGCATGATAAATGAACACAGATGTTGATTTCTCTCTTCATAGAAACAAGTGGCCTTTGGTTTGGATGACTATCAGTAGGGAAACCTCACAAACTCACAGTAATCTATCTTCGTCCATATTTAATGTCACTTCAACCAAAGATGTGGCATTTCTGGATGAAAATAAAACCTTCAAAGAGACCAGTTTTCATGCCTGCATTTAGTCTCCCCCTTTCAATGTTTAGGGCCATTAACTGTTGCAGGGTAATATTTTCTGGTGACCCTAAACATTTGTATTTTCATTCTGTCAAAATCCAAACAGAATGCTGAAAACTACCCATGGCAACCAAAGCCATTCAAAGATAGGAGACATTATTTCGTGCAACCCTTCTTCAAATCTAAGGGAGCCCAGTAGACAAATACAAATGCCTCACACTACAGAAATATATACATACACTGTATATAAAAAAATAGTCTTTCATTAAAAAAATGCCATCCCTGCATACTGCAGCTAGATCCATACTTCAGCCTTAGGGGAAAGAACAAGTATTGTGAAGGAGGGTAGCTCCATGAGCTGAAGCAAGACGACAGTAGAAAATATTTTCATCACAGGCACTGTCTCCATCCACAACTATTCATGGCAATTAGAATAACAAACCCACTAGTGATGAGCTGAAATAAACTCTAAAACAATGCATTTTTAGAGTATGAATGTATAATATAAGCTTATAAGGAATTTTACTGCTAAAGTTTTCACCTTAATTAACATTTTTCAACTAGGTGGGCAACAGACTAGACAAGGGAAGGCATGGGAAGAAGACAGGAAAACTGGGGACATTTTTACTTCACCACCGTGATCTATTCCACCACTCACTGCAAAGAGTTCCTACAAACCATGGGTGAAATAGCAGGCAATGCCTTGGAAGCCACCTGCCTTATCACCCTGCTCCCACAATCCCTCCCCATAATAGCAGCTGGATGAGCAAGCCTCTCAGAGAGGTGATTAAGAAAAAGCAGAAAGCCTACAAGGAGTGGAAGATGGGAGGGATTAGCAAGGAAAGCTACCTTATTGAGGTCAGAACATGTAGGGATAAAGTGAGAAAGGCCAAAAGCCATGTAGAGTTGGACCTTGCAAAGGGAATTAAAACCAATAGTAAAAAGTTCTATAGCCATATAAATAAGAAGAAAACAAAGAAAGAAGAAGTGGGACTGCTAAACACTGAGGATGGAGTGGAGGTAAGGATAATCTTGGCATGGCCTAATATCTAAACAAATACTTTGCCTCAGTCTTTAATGAGGAGCTTAGGGATAATGGTAGGATGAAAAATGGGAATGAGGATATGGAGGTAGATATTACCACATCCAAGGTAGATGCCAAACTTGAACAGCTTAATGGGACTAAATCGGGGGCCCCAGATAATCTTCATCCAAGTATATTAAAGGAACTGGCACATGAAATTGCAAGTCCATTAGCAAGAATTTTTATTGAATCAGTAAACTCAGGGGTTGTACTGTACGACTGGAGAATTGGTAACATAGTTCCTATTTTTAAGAAAGGGAAAAAAGTGATCCGAGTAACTATAGGCCTGTCAGTTTGACATCTGTAGTATGCAAGGTCTTGGAAAAATTTTTGAAGGAGAAAGTAGTTAAGGACATTGAGGTCAATGGTAATTGGGACAAAATACAACATGGTTTTACAAAAGGTAGATCGTGCCAAACCAAACCAATCTCCTTCTTTGAGAAGGTAACAGATTTTTTAGACAAAGGAAATGCAGTGGATCTAATTTACCTCGATTTCAGTAAGACATTTGATACGGTTCCCACATGGGGAATTATTAGCTAAATTGGAAAAGATGGGGATCAATATGAAAATTGAAAGGTGGATAAGGAACTGGTTAAAGGGGAGACTACAACGGGTCATAATGAAAGGTGAACTGTGAGGCTGGAGGGAGGTTACTA